AAATTGTGAGAAAGTGCCCCACTTGTTCTTTATACAGCCAAACTCCACTACCTGCAGGAAGTAACCCTAAAGGTAACCGAAGAAATGAAATTTGGCAAATGCATGTGCTTTATTTTACAGAGTTTGGTAAACCGAAATATGTGCACCATACGATAGACACATATTCAGGGTTTCAATGGGCAACAGCCTTAAGCTCTGAAAAGGCTGATTCAGTTATTACCCACTTATTAGAAGTGATGGCAATTATGGGCATACCTAAACAAATTAGGACTGATAATGCTACAGCGTATGTCTCTAATAAAATGGAAGGATTTTTTACATATTACAAGATAAAGCATGTCACAGGTATACCTCACAATCCTACCGGCCAAGCAGTCATTGAAAGATCCAATCATACTTTAAGGGACATGCTTAACAAACAGAGAGGGGTATTAAAACCCCCCAGAGACAGATTACATAATGCTTCATTGACCTTAAATTTCTTAAATGTTAAAGAACAACAAACAACAGCTGCGGAGAGACACTGGGTTATAGGAAAAACTGCTGAGTTGTTTCAGCCTATATATTTCAAAGATACCCTAACTTCACAATGGAGAGTGGGGAATGTGTTACGCTGGGGAAGAGGTTTTGCTTATGTTCATGCAGGAGAAGAGAAATTATGGGTTCCTTCAAAACTAATAAAAATCAGAAATGACAGTGGAAGACCACCGGAAGACCTTAGCCACTCAGAAGAGGAGAGAAATCAAGATCAAACAGAACAGATAACATAAGTTGATAATCCCTTTACCTGGAAATACCTCTGAAACTGACAGACAAAAAAATGTCTCCAGCGACAACTCCATCAATACTTGGCCAATAATCCTTGGCTATAATATCCTCAAAATGTGTTATGCTCACCTTTTAATTTGCATAGATGAAATTGGCTCACAGTTTAGTGTCATCCTACACATCTCATACATTTATAATTTTAGAACTCTATAATGCTTGTGAGAAATTATATGTTTGCAGAACAAAAGAACTGGACACCAGAGTTGCTGGATCAAACCTAACAGAATCATTCTTCAGCATGCTGAGAAACTGACACATCTGTTCCAGCATCTTGCATGTTCCAGCACTCTGCTTGTTCCTGCCTCAACTGCTTCAATGGCTCTTTTCTCATCAAAGCCTGCTCCCAAAAGAACTTTGAAGAAAGCTACTAATTTTAACTGGTCCAGCATTTTAGACTGTTCCAAAAAGGACTTTTATTAAGGCTGAAATTTCTCAACATTCAAATGTTATTGGACCACAAATGTTATTGCTTGCTTAATTAACCATTTTTATTTGGGCCCCCTACAGGATTTCTACATGTCCAAAATGTCAGCTAGAAGAAATCTATGAGAACAGTGTCCAATTTTCCTTAAAGGGGGTTGGGTATGTTTTTGGTTGTTTGCTATGGCTACGAAATTTTATTGTCATTGGGAGATGTTTATTATTAACGGTTTTATTCAAAGTAAAACAAGGAATATACAGGGATATTTTATAGAAATAGAAAAACGGGTAGATTATTGAATCTACTCAACTTAAGGTTTTATTTGTTATTCCCAAATAAGGTTAATTTTAACTCTGGTATAGGATTTTGCATATTGATGCAAAAATAAGTATTTTTGATACATTGGTAAAAGCTTTAGTTTACTGATTGAAACTCAAGGTTACTTCCAATACTTTTAAACAGCTATTAAAAATGGGTTAAGGTAGTAGGTAATGCAAGTTATTTGCTAGTTATTCAACTCATAGACATGTCAGACACTAGTCTACTTTATCACAGGAGTATATATCCTAGGTTTAACAGATAGATATGATTTTGTAGACAGATCGATTACATAAAGATAGGTAGTCTTCAAAAACTTCAGAGACCTACAGAAGATGGCATTTATTATTATTATTCTTATTATTCTTATTATTTTAAAGATTCTTTGACAATGAGACAAATCATTTCCTGGCAGCACCCCGCCTACCTGAAAGAAGATAATGAGCATCAAAGAACCTCCATATGGAGATGGCTTCAAATGTGGCAAACAAGTCACTCAGGTAAAGAAAATACCCTTGCTTCACAACAGACAAATTCTGCCTAAAATGGGCAAGCTTAAATGCAGGACAGGTCGACTGCTGAACTCTGCCAAGACAGGGTAAGCAAGTCCTAAATAGTTCCTGCTTCACGTATATGCCGACGTATTGAAGGGAGAGCCAGCTAGATGAAAGCAGGAGAGAACAAGGAACTTTCTTCAGCGTAACATCCACCTGCGTCAGCTGGCAGCTCGCCCGAGGATTCACTCAAGGTTGCACGGAGCCAGCTGTCTGGCTCCCAGGGTAGTGCAGAGCTTGCTTATCTTGTTCCCAGGAACAGAGCTCCCTAATGCAAAGCTTGCCAAGGTCAGTCTTTCAGAATCTGACTGCCTGCCAAAGTCAGAAGGCAAAACTTTATTTACCAGAGACCACTACTCAAGCTCAGCACCAGGTCCTCTCTGGCTGCCACATAGCACTGGATCTCTGGCCAACCTCACAGAGGAGTTTTAATCCAACAACACTGCTGCTCTGGCAAGGTAGACCTAGGTCTACCAAAGACCTAGGTCAGTGTCTGGAACACTAGATTGGCTCAGAACCACCCGTGACTCCGGGCCCATAGGGTCTGATGCTCTCTCTAACCTCCTCGGGCAAATCACATCATGGTGCTCAGAGAGATGCAGGCAAACCCCCGGATGCAGAAACGTGACGGTTGTCCACCTCACTACATCTAGAATTAACTAAAACCCAATCACTGGGCACAGCTGTGAGGTTTGTTTGTTTTTCCCTAGATTAGAAATCCAAAACCAACTCTAAATCCAAATCCTTTGAAGTTAGAAAACTCACTTTGGCCAGCCGCTGGTGGTGGTGCACACCTTTAATCTCCCCCCTCTGGAGGCAGAGGCTGTTTGACTACTCACTGTAGTCCTGGCTGACCTAGAACTCATAAAAACCCTCCTGCCTCTGCCTTCAAAGCACTGGAATTAAATATATGTACCACCACCACACCCAGCTAATAACCTAAAAGAAGGAAGGAAGGAAACAAATGAGGGTGGGGAGAGGTTACTCATGCATACACACGCTATCAGTGGAAATATAAATTAGTGTGAGTACTATAGAAACCAGTATGGAAGCCGGTCTAGGCAGATGTCTGTTATCCCAGGGAGGCAGAGGCAGGCGGGTCTCTGTGAATTTGATGCCTGCCGGTCTACAAAAGTGAGTCCAGGACAGCCAGGGCTACACAGAGAAGCCCTGTTTCAAAAAGAAAGGAAAGGAAAGGAAAGGAAAGGAAGGAAGGAAGGAAGGAAGGAAGGAAGGAAGGAAGGAAGGAAGGAAGGA